CCGGATGATCTATCAGCAGTCTCTGAAAGAATGCGCAGTAATAATAATAATATTAAAATAAATCGCCAGCTGCACGCCGTAACGGCGCTTCGGTGCCACGCGACCACCACCAGTCCGCGCGTGGGCTGAGTATCCCGTGAAGACGCCCGCCACGACGCGGGCAGTGGTTTCATTGATACCACTGAAAGAGATGTCGAGTCGGTGCTTAACGACTGGTACCATCCCCGACATTTGGAAATCAGCCAGAATAAAACCATTGCCGAAAAATGGATCTCGGTAGTGTCGGGTAACTGCGTGCACGTCCGTACTGCTAAAGGTAGTGGAAAAACTACGGTTCTAAATTGGATGTCGCTTTTATCTTGCGCACTCCATTTCTTTCTTAATTACACTAATGCCTTTGGGAGCCTCAACAGATCTTTACGGCTCAATAATTTGTCCGCAAATGGCGTCCCCCTATATGTACGTAGTGTGATGCGGGACAACTTCCTAAAGTGTATCCACTTCCCGCAACGATGTGGTAGAAAGTCTTCCGTACTCTTAGCCGACTGTGGTATTCTGCAGGGAGCCATCTTATCTGCATTTCTATTCTCCGCCTACGTCAAAAGTCTTTCTATTTTGTCAAGCTTCATGGGCTGTAAATATGCTGATGACATCGTCCTGGGTTGCATAACTTCAGTCGTTGGGGACTGAAACTCCTCTCTCAACCCTTCCAAGTGTTGTGACGTAACGTTCTGTTTGAAAAGCCCAAGACAGTGCGATCCACTGTGCATGATTGTGGAAACCAAAGCATATCTCGTTTTCTAAAGCAAAATATTTTGGAGTTTTCCTATATCATAAGTTATCTTGGTCTATGTTTATATTCTTGTGACGTTTAAAAAGAAGGCTTTCTATTAACGCCCTCAGGTTCGAAATGCTTTCCGTTCCCTGTGCTTACTTATAAGGTTTGTGACTGCTGTATTCTCCCTCCCTGGTCATACCGTACCCCAGTATTTTCCCCAAACTTATTAAAAAGGATTATCTCCTTCTTGCCTGGTCGCTAAAAGTTATTTCTCCCTGTGCCGGAATAAGGAAAAAACTGCTCATTGATGTTATCGTTAATAAACATTGTGATGCATGTAGCAACTTCTCATCCGGGAATTTAAACGATCCCTCTGACCCTTTACAAACTATTCTAGTCAGCACCATATCACCCTTTTCCATACGGTCGTACTTTTGAAGTTTAAGTTCTGGTATCTTGTTGTATTCCGTCTTATCTATCACGCTTACTAATCAACCAATCAGGAATGAAACACCGATTTCATGGCCGCAAGGTTGCTCCAAGACGCAGCTTTTCGTTCTACTGCTGTCAATTCTCATTCTCCCATCAATGTTTTGTTGTAGTATATTCCGCAGTATTGATAAGAAAGTGCTGAAAATGCACCCATATGGATGGATACTGATTATTTCGACTCGGACTCGGTTTTGCACTGGAAGTGTGGCTACTTCCTGGTGCTGGCGTAAACTTCGTGGGAGTGGTATACGATGACGATGCCAAGTACAAGCGCTTGTCCATATGCGATACTTAGAGCATAGATGCCTCGTTACATATTGCGGAGTTTGTTGACAAGTCTTTAAAGTAGCTTAGAGTGGAAGGCGAATATCTCTGCTAAATTCAGTTAGTGTTTATATCAGTTTTCTCCTGGTTGAAGAAAAAACTGTTCGTTATACTGCTGTCAAATGGTAATTTCTCACTGATGCTTGGTTGTATTACATTCCGTAGTAAAAGTGTGAAAACGCACCCACATTGGTGGGCATAGCTGATTTTCCTTATGAATGGAAGGATTTTGGTGAGTATTTTTGTTCGTCGCAATCAGCCGACAATTCAGATATGTCGACCAGCTATCCGGAAAAGCACTAGACGGCCGTTTCGCCCTATTGGGGCTCATCAGTGGTGCGCATCCTTCGGCCCTCTGCGGAGGATCGAACCCATGACTGCTAGTGGCTCTTGCCAACTAGCCCGCAGCTTATGCAACTGCGCCATGGAGGACGGTATCCGACTATCATGAATTGTTAGCTAAATGCGATATAGCCCGACGCATCCTCCACTGCCATGCAGGCACCTGCCATGGCTGCAGATGCAGATGAGCCCCAATAGGGCGAAACGGCCGTCTGGTGCTTTTCCGGATAGCTGGTCGACATATCTGAATTGTCGGCTGATTGCGACGAACATAATTACTCACCAAAATCCTTCCATTCATAAGTAATACCAATTCGCCCGTACGGATTCCACAAAATGCTATGTCGATCCATAGCTGCCGTAACCGGGAAGTCCTGACGCCCGAAGGCCGACCGCTGTCATCTGCATGGCAGGTGCCTGCATGGCAGTGGAGGATGCGTCGGGCTATATCGCATTTAGCTAACAATTCATGATAGTCGGATACCGTCCTCCATGGCGCAGTTGCATAAGCTGCGGGCTAGTTGGCAAGAGCCACTAGCAGTCATGGGTTCGATCCTCCACAGAGGACCGAAGGATGCGCACCACTGATGAGCCCCAATAGGGCGAAACGGCCGTCTAGTGCTTTTCCGGATAGCTGGTCGACATATCTGAATTGTCGGCTGATTGCGACGAACAAAAATAGCTGATTTTAACTTGACCTGAGTACATTTCGGGATAGAGGACAGTAGAATTAAGTGAGCTAAGAGAGCAAACCTGTTTTCTGTGGTTTCCATCAGGCTTATACACAAGACAGACATCTAGGAATAAAAGCAACGCAAGATATTTAGACACGGTAAATAAATAAAACGAATTATCTGATCTATATGGCTATGTGATCGTGCCGCTTAGGGCACAGTTGTGAAAGACAGTACGGTTATCGGTGTTAGACGAAACGGATGGCGGTCACGGCAGCTGGAAGGTCTGAACGAGTTTCTTTTGTGCGCAGATGCCCGGATTATGGGGACGAATGGCGGTCGTCTTTATCGTCGCTAGTAGGCGGATCTGACTGCTAGCGTGTGGCATCCATATATGCTGTAGATGGGACGAAAAGCCTCTTGCCTATTGATTCGAGTCCAGCAAGTTCCACGTCATCCAAAAAGGCGAGGTCACATGATCTTACTGATTGGACCATTAGTCGCGTTGACTTACCACGTTCACATATGCTGTTATGGTGTACAAGCCTGATGAAAGTCACTGAAAACAAGCTTGTTCGCTCAGCCTGCTTTTCTCCCGGATTATTTTCCCAGATAGGATATCAGTGAGTCACCGCAACGTGATTCTGTTATCACAGAGACGCCATGATGATCCTCACAGGAAGTCCTTTGGATCATTTCAAAAATGGGGTAGCTGGTCAATAAGCGCCAGTCAAATAATGTCGAGCAGAGATGCCCAAGCAGTTGAAAGTGGGTCGCCACTCCCCCTCGGTATCGATGATGAGTGGCTGTATGGCCCAAGTGCTTCGTTCTGCTTAAACAGCACTAGCACGTGTTGGACCTTGTAAGTAGTGGAACTTGTCAGGTAAAGTCCCAGGAAGTTTTAAATGATTCGGCTAGTAAATCTGATTTATCGGGTTGAATGTTGCACTTCAGTGTTCGAGTCAGCGTACTAATCGGTACAACTGGAAATGAACCAACCGTCCATTAGTTTTAGTTATTGTTTCACTGATGGAAAACGTTTTTTAGACTCATGCGTCGAATAGGTTAGAACAGTACCCGGATACCTTCCATGATATTGGCGTTCACCAACTCACGGTCCTCCTCTACCCCCCGACGATGCGGGTTAAATCTAAAACTGCTACTCAGGTGACGTTTTACATTGTAACGGACCCAATGGTTGTGAAATCTCAGAGAAATCATGTTTTTGCTTCGATTTAGTTCACGAAAGCTCCATATATCTATCTACTATTAAGACGCATAAAGCTGAAAGGAAAAGCGGATACGGGTGCTCTCTGCACTGTGCATTAATGGTGATTGCAGTCAGTATTCGGTTCCCCTATCTTCATCGCCAGTGATAACTGGTGTTGCAATTCAGATGGATACTACTGCTGCGTTGACTGCAAACATAGTTGACCAAGAGCTCTTCGCTGGGACTGGGAGAGTGAGTGATAGGTGAGCACGCATGGAAGGTGCGTTAAGAATCGAGACAAGTACTACAGATCGAACGACAATCTTTCACTGACAGCTGATGATGAAGTGATCTAGTTAAGTTTAGGACAGCCTGTTGTGGCCGACATGCAACCCAGTGTGAACGCTCGGGTCGGAAAGCTGTGCTGCTGAGATAGCGGTTGTGGTCAGCGCGTAGCCGAAGAATATGGCTGCCGTTATCAGTAGGATATGCATATACTCTGAAACGGAATCAAAAGCATCAGCAGTACGCCATACCAACGCTTCGCTGCCGCGCAACCATCAGTTGCACGTGACCTAAGGATACTGCAAACGTCGCCCTGTTCCTACGCAGACTCGAACCCGCGCCGTCAGATTACGAGACAAGCTTATTACCATTAGGCTACAAGCCGGCAGATAAAAGAGAAGAGTGACTTGATATTCATGTTCGATTAAAAAAGAGTGACGACGATGCAATTCACCTTTGACAACCTTCGGGTTGCGGTCAGGCGAAAGGTAGGCGGAGATGACCCAAAAGCACCCTACGTTCAGTCACTGTTTTGTTGACTCTGATGAATCTACGAAAACGAATGGGACCTAAACGGCTATTCATCGAGATCCAGTTAAGAAAAGCAGCTTATGTATGTCTGCTTAGGGCGAATCCAACACTGACTACTAGGTAAATAAAGCAAATCGTCAGCTGTACGCCGTAACGGCACTTCGCTGCCGCGCGACCATCACCAGTCGCGCGTGGGCTGAGCATACTGCGAGGACGCCCGCTCCTACGCGGATTCGAACCGATTACCTTATGATTGCAAGTCAGGTGTACGAACCACTTGGCCACCAGCCGACACTGTGACTACTACGGGTCACTGACTCAGCAAAACAAGAAATGCGAAGAGTGAAGCCCAACTATCGCAGCCCAAGTTTGTTAAGAAAAGATGAATCACAGAATATTGTTGTCAAGTACGCGTTTCTGAGACATAGCATGTGTCAACGCGGATGGAGTATAATCAGTGAGCAAACAATGAAAGATCGACTAGGGAATATCACTTCAGGTTCGGAAGAAGACAAAGCTACGTTTATAGCGTAGTTGCTCGGATAAGTAATGTGCTACTGTTTGGAAATACGAGAATAGAATTATCAAAGAGGAAAAGAAACGGAAGAGCTTGAAACCTGTTGCGTTGAGTAAGCAACTCGAACGCAGGGAGTGAACTGAATGCGAAGCGAGCGGTGTACAGTTCATTGGTTACACAGCAGTTGTCTCACTGACGAATGGTAGTGAATCGCATCGTTAATAGTGGCAACAGTTAGCAATAACGGAAACGCTGAGTAAAACAAAACCTAAAGTGGTAACGAAAGGTGATAATAACGACAGTGATGACTAAAGGATCAAGTTTCCGGACAAATACGACAGGTTGAATGCAACGGTGTTAGATACTTCGTGACTAAGTCAAATGTGTGCAAAATCGTATCCAAGACGAGAATAGGCGCCAATTTGATGCGGGTTTTTTGCGAAATTAACCAAGTTATTTCGCAACATCCGTGGAGATGTTGAAAGTTCACGAAACTAAGCCCAAAATTAGGGGAGGAAGCGGACAAAGTATGATCAAGATGAGCGCGAATGAAATGAAATATCGAAAACAGGTAGAATGGCATTTACCCATTGATAGGAAATCACCAGATCTGTCTAATATCAACCGGCATACTCCAGATATTAGCACTTATTACCCACAACCAAAAAGAGTGTAACGTAACCTATGTTTTGAACATGCAACGAAAAGTGCCACATCTTGGGAATGAGTGTACAATAGCTGATCGTACTAGAGAAGCACGTGTAGAAAACTCGAATAATATCGTTCAATTATTGCAAGTCACCCTAAATGATTAGAAAACAGGCGGGTGAATCGTACTCCAGTACGGGTCTCGTGATTGAACAGAGTACGCGAATGATGTCCTCTTCAGACCAAGTGAAAAGCTGTGTTTGAGCATCCGAAGAATGCTCAGTTCGTTTTCATATGACCTGTTCGTTTTGTTCAAGGATTTAAAGTCGAACAGTGAGAGTACAAATAGATTATTGACTGAGGGTTCCGAATGCAGAAGATCGCTGGCTAGAGTGTACAGAAGTTCAGTACTACTCTTCCGCAGCTTGATAAAAACGTCGTCCTCGTCTGGAGTGTCAAGTACCCTTTAAATGTTTAGTTCGTTCGGAGTCAAGATGCAAGGAGACCGAAGAAGATAAGCTACTTTGACGATTTAAAGCTCCTGTGGCGGAGCTGTACGCTATCAGACGTGTCCCTAGTTTTCGGATTGGGAAATGCCTTTCTTATGGAAGTAACTGCGAATAAGTCTCGTTTGCCTCGCAGGCGAGACGAATAAGACATCGCGGACAATGACCGGCAGCGTTTCAGAGTTTAGAAAGTTCTGGGCTGGTCACCTGCTTTTGCATCAAATAACACAAGAGCTCGTAAAGCGCTGTGTCAAAGTTCATGTAACCGATTATAAGGTCACTGACTACTCGCTTCTGTAACCAGAAGCGAGTGCCTAACGCATGGTGGATGAACAATATTGTTGGCCACTGGCTTCGCTGTGGACGACTACAGAACACGAAGAAGGCGAATGAGCTACCCGGCTGTCAACAGCTTTGGTTAATCACCCCGCTACTTTGCGTGTCAGATATTTATGACCAAAGGCTCGGGATGGAGTCCCTTAAGTCAAACTACTTCCTCGGCATGTGCAACTGGGAAGATCTCTGTCCACACAACGCATAAACCTTCCTAACCCTTCTACTGACAACCAATTTCTCCCATTTTTGTTATTGTTAACTACGTGTTGTGGCCCTGCCAATTGTATATTGGTCATGTATTGAATAATAATAAATAATAATCATAATAATGTAATAAGAACTAAATGGGTCGCAGCACTGTGCCTTGGGGTAAAACCCGGTGGAAGTACACCAGTCGCTTAGATGACCATCCACGTTTACCCTGACTTTCGCACAATAAATAATTTGATCTACCAGTGCAGTAAGCCCCAAAACCGCACATCCTCAGTCTGTGCAGGGGCATCTCATGGCTCACTTCGCCGAGGACTTAATGACTTACCCCAGTTCAGAATTGGCAATCATTCATGCCTCGTCACCAGCGTGTTGGTGATACATGAACGAACTTTCATGGAAACGTGCTGTGCTGGCGGCAGGTCTTTAGACTTCAGCAGCTGCAGCATACCATTCCTCACGATCTTCAGGAGTACGTTGGCTAACCGGAGGTATAACACATCTACCGGTAATTGTTCGCCCTGCCTGGGTCTCCGAGTTTCGGAATCCGCATCACCACCGAGCATTTGCGATCACTCGGCGTTGCACCTAAGAATAGTGATCTGATAAACTGGTCAGTCGCGAAAGCTTGGATGACAGTCGATAACGAGTTCAGAATTAGTGGGTTGAACCCATTTGGGAAGAGCATGCTTCGTGGCGACCCACGCTGTCCTCAAAGATACCAGAATAATCTTGGCAAAGTTCCGAAAATAATATGAATGAGAAACATGGGATGTATCTGGATTAGGAAGGCAAAAAAGCATAGGACTCACCACATCGAGTAGTTTCTTCTTTTGGGTAAGTCACTCGTACAAAGTAGAGGTTGTGAGGAGTCTACCCAAACATTCTTGTTTCGTCACGGGCCCAGCGGTAACGTTAGAAGTGGTGACAAGTGATTGTCTGGTTGATGTCGTGGTGGTAGACCCAGTGGTTGATTTCTGTTGCTGAATGTGGTACAGACAGTTGGTAGTGGCTCCCGGGAGTGCAGTAGATGCTCCACGTGAATTGTATAAACAGGTTGCTAATGCTTCATACGTGGTTTGATAGTCTTCTAAAGAGATACCCAAGTTTTGACGACTCCGCCAGTCAGCGAGTAATACGGATATTCGATTCTTTTATGTTGGGTCAAAAGGGAAGAGAGATAGTGAGATAGTTACAGCAGTCTACGGAGAGAAAACACCAATAAGAGAACAGTGTTTTATGTAAAGATAAATCAGCGCGCATGTAAGTGAACTCACAAAAACTAACATGATGCATCACGGCCATCAAGAACAAAATCATTATAACAATGGTATCTCAGTATTACAGCAAGATCGATGAAAGGCAGGTAAGACCTTAACGGAATACAATGAACAAAAGGGTAAAAGCAAATACATGAGACATGGTACAACAGAAGAAACAAGGAAAAACGAAAAATCGAAAAAAACGTGAATTAGTACAAGAAAATGGAGATAAAACGGCAAAGCTAAGTTGGGGCAAAATTGTCCTCAGTATTTTTAATACAGAAACAGAAAGCACTTACGCCATTCCCGCGAACAAAATAGTTAAGGAAAAACACGGTATCCGAAGATGAAAAACCAACAAGGCTATTAAACAAAACACTGGTGCGGTATTGTGGAAAGGGTCTTAGAAAGTCCGGACTATACATGCTAAAGGTGTTACGACAGACGTGACTAAAAAGTAATAAACAATAGGGGAAAGCAATTCTCGTGTACGAAATGAGGAGCATTAATAATGAGCCTAAGGGAAATATGGAAATAAGCGACAAACTACCAACGCATAAAAAAAGTAAGGGTGAATAAAAAAGTCAATCGACCTTTCAAAACGCAATGGGACGATAAAAAATTAATAGTGACGATTTGAAGCAATGCTCCAGTTCAAAGGAATATCTCAGAAGCGAGAGTAGTCCTATGGACACGTTGGAACCCAAAAAACAGCGCCACCTAGCTATGGATGAAAGATGTATGCTGGCTTACCGGAAAGATGATTCAAGTGCATTCCGTTACAGCGAATTGTTCGGCGGTAGTGTTACAGGAAGCGGTGGATTTCGCATCCAAAGCGTTTTAACATATAGTGACAAATGTCTAGTTATTAACACTGTAACTTAGTGGATGGGATCTCCACTACATAAGGTCGTTGTCCTACGTTTCACTGCAGTGGAGCAGCCAGATGAAGAAATCATGGGGAGAATTGAGTTCATGTTTGGTAACTCACCAGATGAAAGATTGTGAGTCGCGCTGGCACTTGCTATTACTAAGCGAAATTCCCTTAATTGCTGGCAGGCTATCCAGTCAAAAGCTTGGGATGGCGTCAACTCCGAGTTCGGAGTCCATATAGAATCAACTGATGTTTGGTTTGGTATGTTTCAGTAAATTTGAGAATAAACCATTTATTTATCTATTTAAGTTACTTGTGATCTCCATTCATGTTCCAACTACAGCGGACTAGGACAGAGATGACTTTTGTCGTGAATTTCGTCAGCAGAGTTTGCAAATTCAATATTGTTATCCTTGCTGGGGATTTGAACGCACGGGTTGGTCACTTGCTACCACATGAAGATCACCCTGATTGTTACCAAATGCTCGATGAGAATAGCTGATAACGAAGACAGGTTTCTCACACTAAGCAAAAATAATCAGCCGCTTCTCTAGAGAACCAAGTTCAATAGTTCAATAGTGTATGATGGGATAAAAAGCATTGGCTTTACAAGACCCATAGGATGGTAAATGCAAAATAGATAAAAATCATTAGATTCCGACATGGAACTGAAATGCCAATAGTCTAAACCTAGTACATCACACCACAATGTGTTGTTTGTCACTCAGATGAATGTCTAACAATTGTTTGAAGGCTGTAATGTTCGGAGCGTTTACCACATGCGTTGGCAAGTCATTCCATTGTGAACAGATTCTAAGAGAGTAAAAATATTTTCTACAGTCTAATCGGGAGTGTTGGATTATCAGCTTGAGGTTATGACCTCTCGATCGCTTATATGAGGCTAGGGTGAGCAGCGATTTGCACGGGTGATCGCTTTCCGTTAATATCCGGTATGCGAGAATGAGATCTCCGCGTAGTCGTCGGTATTCGGAGGAAAACATTCCGATTAAATTGAGACGCACTTCATAATTGAGACCAGATAATCCGCGTGTTGCCTTCGTAGCTCTTCGTTGGGGCTGCTCTAAGAGATGAATGTCCCGTTTTAACCATGGGCACCAAGCCTGGACGGCATATTCGACGTGGGGACGGATATAGGAGTTGACAAGCATGGGTACCAACCGTCGTTCAAAAACACCTAAAGCTCGCCTCAAAAGTCTCAGGTTCATGTTCGCCACGTTCGCTGCTTTGGAACATTGGAGCGAGTTCCCCAGACTTTCTTGCACAATGATACCTAAGTCTTTTTCTGTGGTCACGCGCCGTAAAACGTACTGCCCCAAGAGGTACGTGTTGGCAAGATTGCTGCGCAATGACAGTAGGTGACACTTGGCAGGATTCAGGGGGAGGTGATTTATATCTGCCCATTTGTTGATTCTATCCAAATCATTCTGGAGGAGGGCACAGTCTGATGTTGAGCGAATAACTCTCCAGATTTTTGCGTCATCTGCAAAAATTTGCATCGAGGATTGAATATTATCCGGGAGGTCGTTAATGTAGACCAGAAAAAGAAGGGGACCAAGGACGGATCCTTGAGGAACACCGCTGGAGATGCAGAGGGTTTCCGAGAGGGCATCGGCGACTCTGACCTTGATCGTTCTGTCATGCAAATATGCTGCTAGCCAGGTGAGTAGGGAACCATGGATACCGTAGGCACGAAGCTTATGAAGCAGAGCTAAGTGATTGACTCTGTCGAATGCCTTCGAAAAGTCTAGGTAAATCACATCAAGGGGGATCCTTCATCAAGCGCTTTGGTCCATGAATCCCGAGCAAGAAGCAGATTTGTGAGGCAAGATCGTTTGCGCCTAAAGCCGTGTTGGAGGTGAGAAATTAGCTTCAGACTCTCAAAATATCGTGTAATTTCATCTGCAACTAACGATTCCATTACTTTTGATAAAACAGGGAGGAGAGTAATGGGTCGGTAGTTGGCAGGATCCGATCGCTTACCTCCTTTGTATATCGGAGTGACTATCCCGCTTTTCCACTCAGACGGAAGTGTTTGGGAATTGAGTAGACTTTGGAAAAAGCTTGCGAGGTGAGCTGCTATGGTGGGAGCAAGAGTTTTAAGAACTTTGGGTCTGATCTTGTCGACTCCCGGAGCGCTATTTTCTCTTAGAGACCGTAATTTGCTAGCGACAGCTGCTGAGGTAAAAGTGACAGTTGATATGCCGACCACGTTGGGTGAATGCTGGTTTGGCAAAGGTTCTATGGCGTTTGCAGTCACTGTGCCAAACTGCAGAAGTAATGCGTTCGCAGCATCCACAGCAGTAGTCGTTAGGCCACCATCTGTCTTGAGTGGTGGTATTCCTGTTTTAACTTTCCTTCTGCTGTTCACGTACCTGTACAGCAGTTTTGTATTGTTCGTGAATTTAAGTACCATGTTTTTTTGCCATTCGTACTTATCGGCTCTAATCAGTGATGTGCAATAGTTCCTCACTATTTTGTAATTCTCCCAGGTGGCGTCGCAATTGTTCAGCGCGTATTGTCTCCAGATCTCGTCTCTGGTGCTAATCCATTTACGCGTTCTGCTTCGGATCCAGGTGTTGGTCCGGCGCGGCACTCGTAATGGTATGACTTTTGAGGCTGCTTGCGTGACACAGCTAATTTTGTCTTTTAGTTCGTTCCACGCGTCGTCTGCCGTGCTCTGTAGATTGAGGTCCCAGTTGACGGTTGTCGCTAGGCTGTGAAGCACGGAATAGTTGGTTATAGTTCGTCGGTTTTCATGTCTGATTTCAGTAGTATTGGCGTAACACACATAGGCAAAATTCAACACTGAGTGGTCACTGTTGCCTAATGGTGGATCGTATGAAATTGTCTCAATCATCAACTCTTCGTTGGTTAGGATTAAATCTAGAAGCGATGGCTTATTTGAACCGCGGTGTCTAGTTGGGCGGTGCACGTGGTTGTACAGAGCTGCTGTATCCATAAACTCGAGAATCTTTGATTTGAAGTAAGGACCACTAGAAGTCGCTGAGACAATTGAGGGTACATTAAAATCGCCCATGATTAGACAATGTGAGTACTTTTGAGAAACTGCATAATGAAGCGCGTTTAACAGAATGTCATCTCGGTCTGCGGTGGAGTTCGGTGGCCTGTAGACAACTGCCAACAGACAAGCATCCCACGTCTTCTTCGAAGGTTCACCACCTCGGCCATTTAGCTGCATTCGGCAAAACAAAGCGTCGGAGACAGCAAGGTGACGTTCGTTAATAGCCTCACATCTCAGACAATTCCGATAGTACAGAGCAACGCCGCCACCGCGAGATGGACGATCATTGCGAATAACTGACATATCACTGATTTCGATTTCCGTGTCGAGCATGTCATTGGACAGCCAGGTTTCAGTTACAGCTATGATATCCCAATTGATTGTGTTATGTCGATGGCGCAATTCAGGTAGCTTAGAGTTGAGCCCCTGAGCGTTTGTGTAGCAGCACTGTATCTGTTGACACATTAGGAGCTCGGTTCGTTGTGGTTGACCGGCACAGCTTGTGCCGGTCTGCGTACGTTTTTTGTCACAGGCGTTTGCACATTTGTCTGACCTGATTTAGGAACAACCGAGTCCGGTTCGTCTGTATCTGTGGCCCGTACTTTGTTTAGGAACGGTCTTAAACGTACTTCAGGTGGCCCACGTTTTCTGCTGTCGTGCCACGCTTGGACGGCCGTTGATACCATCTCAGGTGTAGCCACGGTGACTGTCAAAATTTTTGGCCCGTTACCCTGATAGTTTAAGGAGGCCGCTAGACGAGTGACATCGAAACTCACGATATTTTGTATGTTGTAGAGCTCCGTTATGTACCTCCACTCTTCTATATACAAGGAACCGTCTCGAATTGATCACATAACAGCTAGTTTCAGATGGCGAGGCAGTGTGCGGGATCGCAGATCAATCTGGCCCACTTTCCTTGACTCAAAGCATGTGTCGGTCCGTACAAACAGCTGCATGAGTTTTGCGGAGTAA